CTGCTTAGCCTCCAAGAGCAGGTAGGATCTGGTGCTTTTAGGATATTTACGTCCTTTAAACTGCACTTTTAGCCCCTTGTAAATCAAGGCCTTTTCTGACCAACTTAGGGCCTAAGCAGACTGCCAGAAATAGTGCACATTAAATTGAGGCACTGCCCTGGCTCAGTGCTAGGGAATCATGGGAACTGTAATTTATTGTGGCACCAGAGCTCTCTGACAGAGAAGGCTCAATGTCTCAGAAAAAAATACAATTCCCATGATTCCCTAGCACTGAGCCAGGGCAGTGCCTCAATTTAAGGTGCACTATTTCTGGCAGTCTGCTTAGGTCCTTACTGTATAAGGAAGAAGTTCCCTTTCATACTCTTATTTTGACACTTGGGGTGATAAGAAATAAAAAGCTAGATCAAATGAACCTGTGCTTCCTTCCACATAACTTCATCAACACAGTGATTCCCAACAATTTATTCATCTGCAATACTTAAATGTAATAGGCCAGCTTTGAAATTCATGTCTAGCATCTATGAATACTTATAATCATAAAGAGGGGGCTTATTAAAGTTATGCAGGAGATCCCTGGAGCATTCACTTACAAGGCAAGATGATTCCTTGCTGGTGGATCTAAATGAATTATTAAAGTGCTTTCCCATTTGCACCATATACAGACACTTATCATTAGCATAGACAGCATTTATTAAAAACAGATGAAAAATTCCCTTTACATAAAAACGCTAATCTTCAGACAAGTAATTAAAGATATTTTTCCAGTGTGAAATATATTATCTTAAATGGGAGGAGGAGGTACAGTTTAAGTCCAATTGGTAGTCTGAACTAGAGTAAACCCCCTAAACTCAGAAGGCCTACCTATGTGGGAGTAACAACTGAATTAAGATATACATGTTAAAGCCTATGTAATTTACAAATCAGATTTATTCAATCCATCCTTGGTTGTTGTTATTGTGTGTGACCTTAAGGGAAACCTATCATGGAGTTTTATAGGCAAAATTTTTGCAGATGGGGTTTGCAAATGCTTTCTTCTGAAGCCAAGAGAGTGTGAGTTGTCCACGATCACCAGTGGTTTTCTGTGGTTGAATGAGGATTTGAACCCTGATCTCCTGGATTTATTGTCGAACACTCAAATCACTGCACCAACCCTAGTCCGTTGTTCTCTGCATAGATATACTCTATCTGTGCTGGAAAGCTTAGACAATTACAGTGCCTGGTCACATTATGAGGAAATGTGTGTAGCTCCTTCAAATACATATTTTTCATACATTACTGAGTTCACAATTGTATACATATGGTATATACTGTTAATCAGTAATGCATGAACAATACTGTCTTGAAACATTTGTTGTTTGTTGTTGTTGTGTACCTTCAAGTTACTTCTGACTTATGGCAACCCTAAGGCAACCCTATTATGCGATTTTCTTGGCAAGATTTGTTCAGGGGAGGTTTGCCATTGCCTTCTCCTGGGGCTGAGAGCATGTGACTTGCCTAAGATCACTCAGTGGGTTTCATGGCCAAAATGGGAATTGAACTCTCATCTCCAGAATCACAGTCCAACACTCAAACCATTATGCCATGCTGGCTCTAAGTATGGTATATTAAATATATACCAAGGTGAAATTCTAAAAAGAAGCCAGCACTCTCAAGAATAACATGTTTTAAATCTGGGAACATCTCAGTTGATTTGCTATTGATTGAAACTTTAAATATACACGGAGCCAATGAAATACTGATGAGATAACAGAGGCTCACATTCCACCTTAGCCCATAAAATGCAATAAGGACAAGTATAGAGAAAGCTATTTCTCAATAATAGAAAACATATGTTTTTGTCAACCCCACTCCCAAACACACACACACACACACACACACACACACCCATCCAGAGATCACAAAACAGCAGCACTTACACTGCCAGACTCAATAAAATAAGCAATGCTTCACATTTCTTTTACTTCTTTAGGCCTCAGAGGATAGAAAAAGCTAACACAAATCAGCTATCCCTTTGAAAGCAACTACACAATTAATGGGCCTATGAGTGAGCCCATATAAATATTCCCAAATACAGGGTTAACAAAGAAAAAGAACAATTGCCAGCAATTGCATTTACTATGATGTGACAGAACACCCCTAGTGATCACTTACAGTCCCTGGCTGAAAGCATCAAATGCATCATCAATGAGCTATAACCAGCTCTAGAGAATAACACAGCCTTTTCACAAATTCTAGGAGACAGACCTTTATTGTCATACAGACAGCCTCCAAATCTTAAACAACCACTCACAACAGGAAATATAACATGGATGGTAATACAGGGACAAGACCCTGTCACAAACTCAGATGATAACTCTGTCTCCACATTTACTCTAGGAAAATAATGCGAGCACACAAACAAACACATTCACACAACAGTGTTATGATTTCTCAAAGGACAATGGGGTTGAACCTAGACTCAGCCATGGACATTGACTTAGAATCATAGAATCATAGAGTTGGAAGAGACCACAAAGGCCATCCAGTCCAACACCCTGCCATGCAGGAATTCAAAATCAAACCATCCCTGACAGATGGCCATCCAGCCTCTGTTTAAAGTCATCCAAAGAAGGAGACTCCACTACTCTCCAAGGGAGTGTGTTCCACTGTCGAACCGCCCTTACTGTCAGGAAGTTCCTCCTAATGTTCAAGTGGAATCTCTTTTCCTGCAGCTTGCATCCATTGTTCTGGGTCCTAGTTTCTGGAGCAGCAGAAAACAAGCTTGTTCCTTCCTCAATATGACATACCTTCAAATATTTAAACAGGGCTATCATATCCCCTCTTAACTGCCTCTTCTCTAGGCTAAACATCCCCAGCTCCCTAAGTCATTCCTCATAGGGCATCGTTTCCAGACCCTTCACCATTTTAGTTGCCATCCTCTGGACACGTTCCAGTTTTTCAACATCCTTTTTGAATTGTGGTGCCCAGAACTGGACACAGTATTCCAGGTGGGCCTGACCAAAGCAGAATACAGTGGCACTATTACTTCCCTTGATCTAGATACTATACTTCTACTAATGCAGCCTAAAATTGTATTGGCCTTTTTAGCTGCGGCATCACACTGTTGACTCATGTTCAACTTGTGGTCTACTAGGACTCCTAGATCCCTTTCACACATAGTCACGTTAAGCCAGGTGTCCCCCATCTTATATCTATACATTTCATTTTTTTGTACAGTACATTACATTTCTGTGTGTTGAAGTTCATTTTATTAGCTTTGGCCCAGCTTTCTAATCTATTGAGATCATTTTGAATTATCATCCTGTCCTCTGGGGTATTAGCTATTCCTCC